GGAAACAGCTTGTGAAAAAATTGCAGAACAGCTAAAATTCCTAAACATAAACATTAATCCTGAAAAGACGAAAGGAATTATATTTTCATATCAAAAAGGAAAAAAGAAAATGCCAAATGGATTCAAAATTAACAACATTATTAAATTATCGACTAATTAAACATATCTCGGTATTCACTTCGACAGACATTTAAATTTTACTAAACATTTTGAATAACAAATTAAAACAGTAAGATCTAAGACGTACAGACTCCAAAATTTAATTCGGACAACAAACCTATCTTTACGCCTAAAGCTTCTCGTCTATACAAGTATACTACGGCCGGCTTTGTAGTATGGTGCACCTCTGTTTGATCATGTCAGCAAAGCAACTGGAAAAGAGTTATAATATTTCCAAAATGGAAAAATCAGGAAAATAGTAAACGGAACTACGATGCAGAGAATGAAAACATTGGATATACAAGCAGCGATAAATTTATCAACAGTAAAAGAATTTCTCACAAAACGAAAAAATCATTTTTTCGAAAAGTCAACAATTGGCAAACACCCTTTTCAACAAATTATTACCAGCCAAATTTCCTAGAGGATAAGGTAAACTGAAGCCTGAGGTGAGGCCCATCACCGATTATATTACAGATGTAGAAATAAATACTCAGAACAAAAAAAGCAAAATACATCTTACAACACTTTTTTCAAAAAGCCAAGAATTCAAAATAAAGATAAATAAAAACGGGGCTATGAAAAAAAAAAGAACTATCAAATCTGAAAATATCTATCGAAAAAAAAAACTTTACATCTTAACGTAACATCTTTATCAATTCAGCTGAAACATTGAGGAAGTTCTAATTTCCACACTAATATGTGCTTTTATGAATGCTTGAATATTTTATATTCGCTGTTTAAAAACATTTAATTACAATTAAATAAATATACTTTCGTTAAATTGCGTTCAGAGTTTGAAATATATTTATTCACTTTTTACAATGCAAACTGGTGAATATAGCATATTCCCTAAATTGCATTACATAATTTTAAAAAACTCAGAAAAAAGTTGTCAATCCATAGCAAAGAATATGCCGGATTCAAGAGTTTGCTACAAAATTGCGTCATAAAATCGGTAATGACGTATTGGATGTTTTTCAATCAATAGGACGACCTGCTGTGCAGATACAATACAGATCAAAGTAATGAATGTGACGCATTCAATATTTTGTAACATTTTGTTAAAAAATATATCTATTTTAAATTTTCTATTAAAATTTCAGTTAAAACTTAAACATTTATGAAAAAAAGTTATTTCATACTAAGCGAAGTGTCCTTGTCTATAACAAAAGACAATGTGGGTTCGAGGCCTTCAGGAAGTACATCAAGCAGGTTGGAGATTTCTGCAAAGAGTTGGCAAATATCTTTCAGGAAAGTGCCTGATAAAGAGGAAGTGATTGTGATCGCGTATTGTAAATCACGTGCTAGAGAACTAAAGGTTGGAGGGAACCAAATGCTACATAAAAGAAAGTCAAGAAGCAGAAGAAATAATAAAGTAAAAACACATTAACAATTACCATTTACTTATATCGAAATTCCATTCACCACAAAGGACAAAGGATAGTATATAAGTTTGCAGATTACCCATTATGGGCAAAATATTGGAAAAACTCATCTTAAACCGCCGGTATCCCACCCTAGACTTTAATCATATAATCACATGGTGTTCCTCAAGGTAGTATCCTTGGTCCTATTCTTTACACAGTTTATACAGCTGATATCCCAACCCATGCAAACACTGTCATCACACCTATGTCGATGACACGTGTATCCTATCAGTTAATAATGATCCATCAATTGCATCCCCGACTCTTTAATCACACATCATAAGTCTTGATGAATGATGATGAACGATTCCGATACCTAGGACTCCACCTGGACAAACGACTCACTTGGAATCCTCATACTAGAAAATGCCCGAAATTTTCGATTACTACAGCACTTACTAAACAAACGCTCTAAGCTTCCAACTATTTATAAAAGACTCACATGTATTACTATAATAAGAACTATTTGGACTTACGGGATCGAGCTTTGGGGCTCCACTAAACCATCAAATTCTTCTCGCATCCAATCCTCAAAATCCAAAATCCTTAGTAAAACCCTTAATGCGTCCAACTTTGTCAAAAATAAAATCATCCATAACGACCATTATTTACCATATGTTTCCGATTTAGCTCAATCCAGATACCTATCCTTCCATAATAAACTTTTGAACCATCCGAATCCTCTTGTTTCTAGCCTTGCTTTCTCTTCTGTTCCTGATAACCCTCCGAGGCGTCTGAAAAGAAGATTTTCTCTGGACCTTCTAATAGATAGATAGAAATTTTATTTGTTTTGGGGGGATTCCCCATACAAATAGAGCCTAGCTTGGCTATTATAAAATAATATGGTTTTACAAGTTACATACATATCATTTAAATATAAATAAACTTTACAATATTTTACGTTTAGAATGGGTTTTAAAAAACATGAAAAACAATAAAAATTAAAAACATAAAACGATGACTGCATAATAATAGTTATATGAACCTGTTATTATAGAACAATAAAAATTAACATTATTTATATTATATAAACAAAATATTACTTTTTAAGATAAGCTAAAAACAAACACTTAATAGAACATGGGCTATGATCAGTTTTGTGTATGCACTTTGTGTACTCCCATCATAAAATATTAAACTTTATTTTATTTATTTATACAATATGGTTTCGATGTTGTGGTTATCAGAAGATTCTAAGATGAAGTTATGGAGGAATTTTTGTCTATAGTCATTGTATGCTGGGCAGTGAAGGAGAATGTGATTTAGACTATTGTAGATAAATTGACTGCATGATATATAAGTTTCTTGACACTTAATCAAAAAAGTTGTGTTTTTTTGCATAGATTCTCATATGTTCTGGGTTTGCAACTCTTAATTGACTAACACATCTCAATTTCTTTATATGGACTTTGAAAGTAAGGTACGTTTCGGGATCGGGAGCATTGTAACTGCATAGCATTCTTTATAAAGGGTAGTTAGTGGAGTTTAAAGTTCTTTGTATGTCGGCTGAGAAATAATAGTTGTGTGCTTTTTCCAGGATGTCGTATTTGTATCGAAGAAGTCCGTTTGTGAGGTGAACAGAAAGCTCTTAAGCTCGGCTATTGCTCTAAATTGAGACACCCAATTGAAGTCTATGTCAGGCTTATCCTTGTCTAATGATTTAAGTCTATTCAAATAAAGTTTTGGGAGTCACTCTTGTGACATGAACTCGAACTTAGTCCATAGATTTATCATCATTTTTATCACTTTCATGCTTAATGGACCTTCTAATACAAAACTATAATTGAAGTGCTACCAATGGGTAGTTTCTCTTCATGTTGCACATGCCATATTATTAATTTCATACCTACTTTTTACATTTTTCTTTTAATACAGTTAATTTCAATAAAAAAATAAAATACAAAATTAAGTTTGTAGATTATTTAGGAAGGGATAAGTTGGTGTAAAATAAGATATTTGAATGAGGATAGGGAAGAGGCTTGGCAGTTTTTGAAGGTAAATCTTGAAGGCAGTGGAGCGGGCAAGAAAGGAACGTTTAAAAACTTTCGAAGTATTGTAAGTTCTGTGGGAAGGCATATAAAGGTCAGGAACACAGGAGCTTAAAAAAAATAAATAAATAAATAAGGTAATTTCAAAATAATATAAAGCTAAATAAGAACAAAATAAAATATCATAGTGAAGGATGAAAATATAAATAATAGTAATAATTGAATAAAATTAAATTAATAAAATAGAATGAAAATTATCTTTTAAAAAAAAGTAATGAAAATAAACATCTTAGACGCAGGCATACCTATTTACACTATTTACAAAATTAAAAAATAAATTAGATGTTTCTAATATATTTTATGTTATAATACTTCAACAATATGCGATATTCTTAGTTGTTCCATTATTTGTATAGATATAGAGATTGTATGGTTTTCTAATTCTAGAATTTGCAACATATAATTGTCTATATAAGCGGTCTCTAAATCTCACGAAAAATTACTTAATGTTTAAGGCGTCATATCTCTGCAGTGATTTTTTTTTATTTGCATGGAATCAAAGCCTCGTATGGAGTTAAAAAAATGATGGGTATAGTCAATCAAAAATTTAATTTTTGAGTTATTCGCAAATATAGTTTTGAGCCCATAGTAACTTTTTCTTCATACTCTTTTCGGGAAAGGATGTTATATACATAAATTAAAAGGGCTTCAAGGAGAAGACTTTAGCCAAGTTTAATTAAAATCGTTACAGCCGTTTAGGCGCTACAGTCTATAGCGACACAGGTTTTTAGGCCGCCATTCCGAAACGAAAGACAGGAGAGTAATTAAATGTTTATAAAAACACTCCGAAATGCGATGGAAACATAATGTCAATATTTCAAAGCGATCGGTGAAGAAGTTTCGGAGATTAGGGATTTTTGAACAAACGAATATTTACGTTTTTATTAATATAGATATATAAAAAAATATATATATTTCCTATCATATCTTTTTGTTAATGAAATATTCTCCCCGAAGTTTTGGAAATCTCCATTATAAGGGACCTATTCTATTTGAACAATACCATATAACCAAATTAATAATTATCATTAATCTTACTTATAACACTATAATACATACTCATTCTTTTAAGAATTTAAAAAAAATACATTTAATAATTATTGCACATTTTTTTTTTATATTTCTCTCAGATCTAAAATCCGTTGATTTAGAAAGTATGTTGGAGTTAATCATTTGGTAAAGTTAAGGTTCAATGAAGTATTGTCAGCGAAAGGAGGGAAGAAGCCATTGGAACATGCGATACCGCCTCGCGATAGCGAAGACAAATATTAATATAGTCCAATTTACAAGTTTAAAATGTTTAATATTGCATTTATTGATATTATCCCATCACAACAAATATTTATAAACAGTGGCAAGCGACAAAAAATGATCGCTTCTCAAATATTGAGACCAACTGTGCACACACGTCTTCTTATAAAATGCCAGCGAAGATCACTCCTGTCATCAGTAACAGTTTGGTTTCGAGATGTTCACCAAGGCATTCATTTTGTTATTTGTCGGCGCTTGCTTCGCCAATGGACAGGTGTGGAAATTTTTCCTATAAAACTTATTATATTAATGTTATATAACTTACTATATTTTTTGAAGCGAAAATTTCTTTAAGCGCGTTTTGCACTTTTTTTGTGGAGATTGAGCCGTTAGATCTCCTATGTGTAACTCTTGTGTATAGTCAGCTGGAGTCGACTAATTGAAGTGTTTTTTGCATATGAATTATTTATTTATTTATACATGTTTTGGATTCTTCAACCACTTGGGTCATTTTCGCCCTATATTACAATTTGATGAATTACTACACACATAACTCAACTATAGCTAAGAAATACAATTTAAAGTGTGAAAAGTTTAGAATAATTACAGATGTTTATGATAGTACAATTGAACTAAAATTATAAAAATTGAAAGTTAAAGATTTAATAGAACATAAGATAACAGAGACAATAAAAATAAAGATTAATGATATTAAGAATAAAAGCTAAAAAATACATTTTTAAATAATAAAAATTAATATTAATAGAGGCGAAGTTAAAGAATATAGTGTAAACATTAAAAAGTACAAGAACTATTAAAATTAAACATTAAAGATTAGAAAAAGATAAGTTAACAGTTAACAAGGACATTTAAATAAAAGGTTAATAATTTCAGGTATATAATCTAAAAATACAGTTTAAAAAACAAAATTAATATTAAAAGAAGAAAAGTTAGGAAGTACAATTTAAATATTAAAAATTACAAGAAGAAAAATTGAAAAACCATTATAGTTAAAAATTATGATTAAAAATAAAATTAACTCAGGTATATTTACAATTTAAAGAGGAACCTACAAACTTCAAAAACTTAACATTTACAATTACAAGGTGTGATTAAATTTTGTGAAATACTTTGATTTCCTTAAGGAACAATATTAAGTTTTTAATAGTATTGGGGTCCTTTTGGAGTGATTCTTCAAGGCTATTTCTGAAAAGATGTTGATCCCTAGAATATTGGAATGCATAACATTCGGTTAGGATATGGTTCACTATGAATATGCTTATGAATTAAAATATATCAAAAACTAAAAATCGGACCTGCATATTTTTAGGAAAGAAAATGTTCATAATTTCATCCTCTTTGTAATGAGCTATTGTTGGGATGTATTATAATAAATTAATTCCGAAAACACACTTTTTATTTATTAAAAAATATACTTTAAAATATATATTTTTTTAGATACTTATCATCTACAATAATAACAAACTAGTGGTTTTTACACAGATCTTAATTTATTTGTTAATTTATTGTAGTTGTTTTTGCTGAGAATACAGGTACTTTGTGGTTACAGAATAACCAATCAGATAATTTGTTTACAACTAGAGGTGGATCTCAACTTACTCGTCATCAAACCCCAGATTACTTTATATGGATTTTTTTTTTGTAAAAAAAAAGTTTTTGTAAAATGTGGTATCTGTAGTTTAGTAGGCAGTGAAAAAAAATTTAAAATTACAAATAATTTATGTTTAAAAGTTACATCGCTAGGTTATTATTAAAAAAATAATAATATTCAAATGGTTTTAACAACTCATCCAATTTCTTTTAAAGAAAATTGTATTTAGTTAATTGGGAATCAATGGTTTAATCAGTTAGATTAAATATTTTTTTATTTATCGTTATCTATTCGAAAAAAAAATGTAGCTTACGTAAAAAATCACAAACCAAAATTTTCAACTTAAAACCATGGTGTATGTAAACATTTTTGAAACTGCTGAAGATTCTCCTTAACTTACTGGACACCCCACCCTTTATACTATTATACTATATTTTATTTGAATAAAAATATATGTTTGCTGATTATCTTTGAATGCGAAATTGGGATAAGTAATTTTCATAATCAATAATTAATTTATTATTGAGTGGATTAAATAAATTCTTTTGAAAAGAATTTGGGATAGAGAAAGAACGGTCTTATTCCTGAATTAGAAATACTTATATATTATTAATATTATGCTAGACCCATCTTTTTAAAATATCTCTTAAAGTAGGAGTACTGCAGTATAATATAAATGTACGCAAAAGTAAAAATTAGATGAATCTATTGTTTTTATTCTCTTTATTATCGTTCTTTAGCGGGGTAATGCAAAGGTCCCGAGTTCGAACCCCGGCTCATGGCAGAAAATTTATTTATCTGTTTCATTGGCCGTGGGGTGACCTTGGGTTAGAAGTCCCTCCTGGGGCACACCCAGCCTCAATAAAGTGGATACCCTTAATTAAATAATTAATTAAGGGGGAAAAACTGGCGGTTGAGCGTGATTTCGGTCAAATCACCTCCTTGCACAACCGTTGACCTAGAAACAGTGCTTTCCCTAAATAGTACTGAACCCCAGATCCTTCATGGGTTGTAGTGGTACAGGTTTTTTTTTTATTTATTTTTTTTTTTTATTATCGTTCTTTACCAACACGCTATGAACGATAGACCATCATTTACTAAACAGTTAATTTCATTTTTTTTTTTTTTTTTTAAGGGTTATGGTGGAGAGTTCGATGTTGACCCAAGTGACCAAGAAGTAAGACAATTGTTGGTGAAAGCAATCGATTCTGAGAACGCCAGAACAAACTCAGAACCTCAAATAGTTGTGAGAGTTGTGAGTGCTGTTGGACAGGTAACCATATTTACATCCTTACTATATAATAATAATAATAATAACCTTTATTTGTACATACAATGAAAAAAACAATGGATAAAAAATAGATATATAAAAAATCTCTTATAGGTACAAAATCAACTTAGTTGAGGTTTTGAGTTCGATTTCTTTCTTTTTTTTTCTTTTTTTTACTTAACTTTCTTGTAACCACACTAGGTAATGAACCTGTCCCATCCTTTTCCATTCTTTCCTCTCCAATGCTACTCTCTTCCACATCCTTACTATATAGAAAAAAAAAATTAAATCTGCAATAGAGGTGATATTTCTCAACTCGAAGTCATCTTAAGTTTTAATATAGTTCTGGTAACAAGTCATATTCTATTGGCAGTGTAGTTGTGTGAAAATAACCTGAAGTATTTCTTATCGTTTTCTGACTATATTTCTTCAGACTATTCTATTCATCTGTTTGGGGATCGTTTATATTTTACTATAATAATATAAACAAAAATATTTATAATATAAAAAACAAAAATCTTTCTAAAATGAGTAATAAGTATCGCTTCATATTTATTTTCATAATTGTTGGTTAATGGTTGACTGTCGTGAATAATTAAGAGAAGGATAGTTAAGGTGATCAGTCAGAAATAAGAAGGCAAAAATAAATAATAAGATTTATTTGAACATTTGCCGACGTTTCGACCTGAAGTTCAGGCTTTCATCAGGGCTAAGAAGAGAACCGAATAACAAGGTATGAGAAACATAAATAATGTAGGTAAAAAAAATTAAAAGTAAAATGAAGTAGGTAGAATAATGAAAATAGTAAGAACTAAGAGATAAATAATAATAACCGTTATAAAGTGTGGAATGATGAAGTAAAGATTATCAAAAAGGTGACATAAGTATTAAAATGGTAATCATAGAATAAAATGTAAATGAAATTAATAAAAAAAAAATAAATAAATATATATATATATATATATATATGCCTCGCGCGGGCTCATTACCGCGTATGGGGAGCGTCCCACGGGTGGCGGATGTGGGGATGGTCGGTGGAAATTCCTTGGAAGTTCCTCCCGGCTAAGTCCGATGGACTCGCTGACCAACAATGAGAGGGGCCCTCCAGACTTGCTGGAGGGAGGGGACCTCCAGACTTGCTGGAGGTAGGGGCCCACCAGACTTGCTGGAGGGTGTGACGTAGGATTGAACGCCCTACTCACATATCTTTAGTTCACCAAACACCACAAAAAGTCATGGATCTCCCTAAGGTAAAACGCTCATTATCCGGAGGTAAACTAGTCCCCCGTTCGGGTCTCCGGGTGGGGACTGCTTTAGGGGATTCATGGTGCAAGTTGAAATATAGGGATTTAAATATTGGTACGTGGAACGTAAGGAGTTTAAACACAGCAGGGGGGCTAAAATCGGTCGCGAATGAGGTAGATGGGTACAATTTAGATGTCGTGGCTCTGCAAGAGGTTCGTTGGCCAGGGGAGGGCTCGATGAGGGAAGGAAAGTACATTATTTGGTACGGAGGAAGCGGGAATCATTGTTTGGGTACCGGGTTTCTAATTAGGAGTAGATTACTATCCGCTTTGAGGGACGTACAATTTTTTAGTGATAGAATTTCGGTAGCTACATTTCAGGGACGTTGGTTTAAAATCGCATTAATAAACATACATTGTCCGACCGAAGACAGTGACGATGAAGTCAAAAGTGAATTTTACGATAAACTCGAATGGGTTTATGATAAACTACCGCGAAACTACATGAAAATAATTGTAGGTGACGCGAACGCAAAGGTAGGAAGGGAAGAAGTTTATATTCCGACGATTGGTAAAGAAAGTTTGCACGAATATAGTAATGATAATGGGATCCGTCTGATAAACTTTGCCATCTCGAAAAACCTGATAATTAAAAGTACGACGTTTAAACACAAGGATATTCATAAATATACTTGGACTTCGCCGGATTCGCAAACACGAAATCAAATCGATCATGTCTTGATACAACATAGGTGGCAAAGCAGTATAATTAATGTACGGTCTTATCGCGGAGCAGAATGTGGGTCGGATCATGAATTAGTAATCGCGAAACTTCGACAAAAACTTAATATAAAAAAGAGAAAAGAAAACCGTTTCGATTTTGAGAATTTTAATTTGGAAAAATTGAAAAATCCATCAATTAGAAACCAATTCGAGCTAGATGTTAAGAATAGGTTTGAAGCTTTAGAGCTTCCTGACGAGGACCACGAAGATATTGACAAGTTATGGATAGAGATCAGGGATAATATTAAAGCGGTCGGTAACTCGTGTCTAGGAAAAAAGGAAAATAAGAATAACAAACCGTGGTTTGATGAAGATTGCTTAAACATGTGTGAAAAAAGAAAAGCCGCTAAATTAAAAGCTCTAAATAATCCTAGCGAAGACAATCTGGAATACTTCCGAATCTCAAAGAACGAAACGACAAAATTGCTCAAAAATAAAAAAAGGGAGTATCTTAAAAATAAAATAATTGAAATAGAAACTAATAGAATCGAAAATAACGTAAGAGACATGTACAAAGGTATAAACAGATCACGTAAATATGTAGGGCCCGTAACGTCTGGAATTAGGGATGATAATAACAATATTCTGACCGATCCGGTTGACATATTGAATAAGTTTAAGGACCACTTTGACAATATTTTAAATACGGGAAATTATGATCTGTGTCCTCCTTCTGAGTACCAGAGTGCTGAACCGTTAATAGAAGGACCAAGTAAAGAGGAAGTTGAAGTAGCTATCGGAAAATTAAAATCATATAAAGCAGCGGGAATCGATAATATTCCTACTGAACTAATTAAGGCATGCGGGGAAGCTGGAGTTTCTAAAATACATCGGTTGGTTAAAAAGATCTGGGTGAACGAGAAATTACCTGAAGAATGGAAAGAATCTATTCTTATTCCGATTCACAAAAAGGGCCCGAGGACAGATTGTAATAACTATCGAGGAATTTCACTCCTTCCGGTATGTTATAAAATATTCACTTCAATCCTAACCAGTCGAATCACGGAATACGCCGAGGAAATTATCGGAGACTACCAATGCGGATTTAGACGGAATCGTTCGACAATTGATCAAATATTTTCTTTACGGCAAATATTAGAGAAAAAATTGGAGTATAACGGTATTGTTCACCAGCTGTATATAGATTTTAAAAAGGCTTACGATTCTATTGACCGCCAGAAACTTTATAATATTCTAATTGAGCAGGGGATTCCAAAAAAACTTGTAAATCTAGTCAGGATGTGCTTGACGGAGACACTCAATAAAGTTAGAATCGGTAATAATTTGTCCGAAAAATTTGAGGTTCGTTCGGGCTTAAAACAGGGGGATTCTCTTTCGCCTGTCCTGTTCAATTTGGCATTAGAACATGCCATTAGGGAGGTAATGCGAACCGAGAAAGGGTTGGATCTGGGCGGGACAACATCCGTGCTGGGCTATGCTGATGATCTGGTACTGTTAAGCGAAGACGTTGAAACTATAAAACTAAATACGGCAACGTTAATGAAAGCCGGTAAAGAACTAGGACTCGAAATAAACGTGGATAAAACAAAATATATGGTTAGCTGCAAAAATGGCGATACTACTGGTGATATCGATATAGATGGTAATATGTTTGAACAGGTAGATAAATTTAGGTATCTAGGTTCTACGATAACTAGAAAAAACGAAATTGAAGAAGAGATTAAGGTTAGACTGAAGGCGGGGAATGCTTGTTATTTTTCTGTGACAAAACTACTTAGTTCGCGCCTCTTGTCCCGAAACTTAAAAATTAGAATCTATAAAACAATTATCTTGCCTACAGTTCTTTATGGATGCGAAACTTGGCCGCTTACATTAAGGGATGAGCAGCGTCTTAAGGTTTTTGAAAATAAAGTATTGCGTAGAATATTCGGACCGAAGAAGGATGAGTTAACCGGAGAGTTCAGACGGTTACACAACGCCGAATTGCGTGAGCTGTATCCGGGTAATATAATTGAGGTAATTTCATCGCGGCGAATCAAATGGGCTTGTAAAGTTGTTGGGCTTAGTAACGAGAGAATTCCTAAAAGGTTAATATGTGCGGTGCCGAATGGTAAGCGTCCGAGGGGTAGACCGAAGCGAAGGTGGGAAGATTGCATTAAAGCCGATCTGAAGGGACTGGGTTTGGACGGCGAACGGTGGAGGGAGGTGTGTAACAAGCGATTGGTGGTGTCGGCATCGAACCTTCGGGTTCGCTAAGCCTTATTATTATTATTATTATTATTATATATATATATATATATATATAGGAAGGAGATGATCCGATGATCATAAATAAGCTAAATAGTGGTAAAACTATTTTTATTAAAAGCCAACGTTTCAGCCCGGACCATCTCGTTCCTTTATAATGCAACGGTCAATTAATTAATATTCTCTCTCTCTCTCTCTCTCTCTATATATATATATATATATATATATATATATATATATATATGTGTGTGTGTGTGTGTGTGTGTGTGTGTGTATTGTATTGAGAACAAAAAAATATTCATATTTCATATTATTTTCTTCATATTTATTTTCAGGTTGTCTCTGGGAACATATATACTATCACATATGTAAGCGAGGGGCTTTATTCCCGAAACCAAATTCAGTGCCAGATCAAATTGCACAGCCAGCCATGGGTCAGTGACACACCTAAAGTTGTCAGCAATCAGTGCGTACCTGTTGAAACCCCCCGTTTCTATTAATATAGTAAGTTCAATAGCTATATTAATTTATGAAGAACATACTTATAGCATATGTTTATATAAAGACTAGCCATTTCCGAGCTTAGCCCTGATAAAATTTCGTTAGGCAATGCGGACATCCAAACAGACAAAAATTTTATTTAAAGTGGATTGTCTGTATATGTATAAAACGGAAAGACATCATGAAACGGGTTGATTCTATATAATGTATAGACAAAACCATTATTTTATTTATATAGATGTTCTTTAACCTCTAAACATATGTTCATTACAAACATTTATTATCAATATTAACCAAGATCTCTAGACCAATTACTCAAGAATTCATAACTTTGGTTATAATCAATATATCGTTTTCATTTAAAGCCCATGTTTTAAGTCAAGCAAACCTTAATATTATGTCAACATTTCAAAAGTCTACAGTAAACCATTGCTGAGCTTACCGCTGACAAAATTTCGTTGCAATGCGGACATACATACAGACAATTTTTTTTTAAAAAGTGGGTTTAGTGTCTGCAATTTATGAAACGGAAAGACATCATAAAACGGATTGATTCTAATCAATGTACAGACAAAACCTTTATTTTATTTATATAGATATAAGTCTTGTAACGTTTGTTTTTATTATTTATTTTATATGATGTGTGTGTTTTTTAAGTGAAAATGTGTTTAGGCGCGTTTTGCACTTTTTTGTGGAGAATGAATTAGATTGAACCGTCAGTTTTACGACGTGTAACGCTCGAGTAATTTTGGCTGGAGTCGACTTATTGAAGTGTTTTTGCAGATGGATTAAAATATCTCAAACACTAAAATTCGGATCCGCACACTGTAAGTAAGGGAATTGTTCATCTGGGCTATTTAATGGGCTATTATTCCAAATTGTATATTAATGCGACGCCGTGTTAGAGAGGCAATAAGGGAAAACATATAGTGTTTACAACCATAACAGAACGAATTACATACTATATATATATATATATATATATATATATATATATATATATATATATATATATATATATATATATATATATATATATATATATATGTATGTATATTGTAAATGTCATTAATTTTTTAATATAGAATAAACAAATATTTATATTTCATATTAATCGCAGATAAATTTAAATTTAAAAATTTTGCAGGTTCTTGAACTCGTTCGACCACCACCACTCCTGGTGCGAATGAGTTCATCCATTCATATTAATATATTTTCTTGGATTGAGACAGAATGTAATATTTTTTGATAAAAGCAGATTTAAATCAAAATATATTACTTCCTCGACTATCTTAAAGTTTACAATACCTTAATTGCAAGTTTTTCAAATGATTTTAATGAGTCCAATAAAGTTTAAACTGCATTCTTTCCTTTTAGTTTGGAAATGACAGAATCTTATTTTGAAAATTCTAAAGTTCCTCCTGTCCACCTGTATCCCAATTTCACAAATGATACAATGATACAATGATACAACTACCACAACAACAACTGTTCAACTCGTTGCTCAAATTGTATAACTGTAGTTTACATGTACTCTGAAGTTCATATTGTATAAGTTTTTTCAAGATGGCAGGAAAAAAAATTCTTTATCCTAGCATTTTAATTTGTTGAGATTAGAAAATAAAATATGACAATCACTAAAGACGTTTTTATATAATAGAGAGACATAAATAATTTTGAATTAAAATTTAATAGCTTTTTTAAAATATTTTTTTATAAATTTAATAGATTATAAATTAATCAATGTTAACCTTTTTACTTATAAACAAAATCATCTATTCGTTTTTTAATACCATAATTAATATTTATTAATTTCAGCTGCAGTATTATAGGTATCTTCACCGATAGGTAGAAAAATGAATCTTGAAGAACTCTTGTCTCCATTCTGTTCTGGACAATATTACCAAATATTTCACAATTCTGTATTGATAATATTTTGTAAAAATTAAATAAAATTTATAATCATACCTTTTTTTATTTTTTTTTTATTTTGCCCTTTTTAATTTGTTATTGAAATAGACACGTTTAAGCAATGGTAAGCAAAATTTGGGGATGGTTTCTGATAAAATTGATAACGAATAATTTTTTTATCATTTCTTAACTTTCTTCCAACTCTCAGCTTTATTGAAAGTCATTTTTTACACATTTTCTATTCTACACAAAAATTCTACACAAATTCTAACGATTTTATTTTTCATGATTCAGCTAAAACATTATTAAATAAAATCGTAACAGTCAGTTTGAGTTGAATCTTTAAAACAAAAATTGACTTTTTCTCCAATTTCTGAAAATGATAGTTGTTTTATTACGATATGAAACCACTAATTTCATAAATTTATTTGGACAATTCATACACTTATTTTGTTTTTTTTTTGGTGTATTATCATGTTAATATTATTATTTTCTTATGTGTGCATTACTTTTTTTATCTGAACTTATTTATGGACGCCTGTCTATATATTTTATTGCTGTTGTAATTTATTTTTTTAATTTTTAATCATGATGAGAACTCTCCATCTATGCTAGGGTCGAAAAATCCCCAAGGCTAATAAACCATATTAATAAACAATACCTAGAATGAAAATCCGGAGTTTTATAAAATAAGACATGTGTTTATTTCTTCACCATATTTATTTCAATTACATAGCTACGTTTCGGCCGGTATGCCGTATTCGTGTTATGACACGTATTGAACTATAGGATTTGATGAAATTATTTGAAACCATGTAAAGTTACTGAAATTTTATTGGTAAAAGGCGGCTAAATCCATTATATATCATCGACATCAGACAGGCCTAGAACCCAATTTGTTCTGTCAACATAAAATGTGAGTGGAATTTTTCGATTGTGAGCAAAATCTTTTGTTTAATTTTTTCTAATATTTAACCATTTGATTGCTTGAAAATTAATATATTGTTAATCGTAGGTTATGAGTGATATATAGATTATTAAATATGAATGTTTTTCTATTTATTTCTTTTACTTATAATTTATTTTGCTACGAATTTCTATATTTTATTTAATTTTAACTCTAAGTTACATTTCCTTGCTTTATTATATTTTTTGCTTTTGTTATATAGATGTGTATTTTTTTATTATTTGTTATTTTTTTGTATTGTATATATCTCATAGTTTTTTAGATATTCTCAAAAAACTAAAAAAAGTATCACTTTTCTGTCCTTCTCCTCTTCCCTCCTTCAAAACTCGACGCCAAATTCTTTGGGATTTTTTACCAGTTATTAAGGAGAGTTTAATAAACAATTTCTGACATGTTTCATCTATCTTTTTTTATATTTATTATTTTAGTCAATCCTTAAACGTTTGTGAGAAGTTGATCTTATGCCCCTTTAAGACGACCTGCAGTAATAGTGCATACTAGATGAGAATATAAATAGGAATACTGTTACGATTACAGACGATTAGGGTTTCTGTGTTAAGAGTTTTTCGAAGAACTGTGGATGGGTACCCTCCCACATTTTGTGGTTCCTTCAATATGGTCTGAGATGACATCTACTCAGCAGGAAGGACTATACTTCATATTGTGGAAAGTAGTCTAAATACAGTTCATTATGTCCCAGAAATTTTAGTTTATTCCTCTAACCAGCGCCATAATTAGTAAAGACTTTCATTTTTTTGACGACAATAGGCGACCTCATAGGGAAAATGTTTATCATCAATGTCTTGAAAATCTGGACATTTCACGTCTGCCCCCAGATCTGTCTCCAGATCTCAATTCCATTACTAGCAGATCCAAGATTTAATTTTGGAGGGGCTTCAAGCCGAAAGCGTTTTTCTTATACCCGTACATATATTATTACAGTAAGGCTCGAAATCAGAAAATTAGAAAATTTCTTTCTAAAATAAATAAATTCGATACAAACATTTTGCCAGGCTTCAATACCTGAACAGTGGTAGGTCTCTAGATCGATACGGGACAAATTGGATCTAGAAGAATTTGATGCGTACAGCAAGGCCCGGAACTATTGGATCCTGCGTTTTAAAGTCCAAAAACGTACTATTTTCGAGATAACGCAATGCATAGGGTTCGCATCCACACAACCTTACATTAATTGTAGTACTGTCATTGAATACATGTCTTATTTCGTCGATTTGAGGTCTCTATGATCGAGACAGGAGGAGTTTATATTATTCATCGATGGTGTTTTTGATCGGCAAGCCATATCATCGTTAATTCTTCACCAAATCTCAAGATCGAGACACCGATTTCGAAGGCTTCCTTCTCCTTCAGGCGGACAAAATAGTCCAATCACCCCGAAAATTCAGGCAAAAAAGTTATAAAAGAAAACAAACTTTATTTTCGAATAACTAAAAAATTACACACTTTTTCCTGGGTTATGTCCGTGATTATATAAAAGATTACTAAATTCCCTACACAATGAAAAAAATAATCATCGAAATCGGACAATTTTTAGCAAAGATACAGCTTACTGAAATTTGTGAACATATTGGTTTCAAACAAAAATGAAGATTTAAATTAAGTTTTGTTTCCTTTGTCAATTATATTTATCGATAAAGTAACATTTGATTTCTTTATCTTTTGATAGGTTGCATTATTTTATTTTGTTATTTATCTGGCATTTGATAACAATATGCTGTGCGAATTTTTCGCACGGGCCTACTAGTATATATATACAATGATAATTACTTTGGAAAAATAGAAAGAAACTAACTACCTGAATGACTGAAGTTATTCTTCAAGTCATATTAAATGTAATTACACGAACATTAATACTTTAAGAGATAATTTTTAAATATTTTTTTTTTAAAACATGATAACAGTTTACCATTTTGGAGGGGTATTCAACCCGAAAGCCCCTCCCCCAAAAGAATCCCTTTGAATCCCATTGAGCACATATGGGATACACTGCAGATAAAGGCTCTTTGACCACCATCTACAGCTTCTTAATCTCCTGCAACTGAGAGCAGTATTGCTATGTTTTTGTTATGAAATTCCTTGTGAAATAAGTGACTATATTATAAAACGTATGCTCAAAATTTCAAGACTTAACAGTTGTGTAACTTAACAGTATCTTAATATATGTGCTGTTAGACTGTCGATGTGTCTCTGGCCTGAAGTATCGAAGCTCTATTTTAAAACTTTATAGAGGATCCCATTGTCAACTTATAAAAAGTAAAAACCGGGATCGAAACGTCGAATAAACACAGAAACAGTGAACATTTAGTACTTTATGGAATAATTAATAAGTGACCTTATTCCTAATTAAATAATTATGTTTAAATTTAATATTCAAAGGTCGCGATTAAAGAAAAGTTGTTAAATATATATTATATGAAAATAAAGTGTTTCTCTCTCTTGGTGAAGAGAGGTAGTAGGTAACTGAGTATATAACACAGTTTTTTTATTTGTTTATTTAGACATACAATATTCTATCACAGGGATAATAATTATATTGATAAATGAGCACATTCACACCGTATATACAAAAAAAAAAAAAAAATTAACAAAGTAAAACAATAACTAAATAATAATAAATAAAAACTATATACAATAAAAAAACCTAAATATAAGTAAATTAAAAACATAAAAATACAATCATACCTATATACAATACATACAATCAGGCGGGGAACCCAAATCCCTGCGCTAGTGTCTCAACCTCCTCACCGGTGTTAAAGCCGGTGGAGTTTGAGCGAGAGCGCTTTAGCCACATACACTCATGTCTTGAGTGGAGAATCTGGCCATTGCCAGAACTTCAAAATAAATACTATAAAAGATCTCTGGGCCACTGCCGCTTCAATCTTCGAGGAGGGTTGTAGGGATGAGTGGAACTAGATAGGGATTGGGCTAGGGGATTTGGATGATTGATAAGGTTCTGATGGAATTTTGAAAATTTTTCAGGGATAAGGTCAAGGACAAATGGGATATTAAGGTCATGACGTAGGGTTTTGTTGGTTACATAGAACGGAGCATCGACTTCGGAGGACTTTGGATTGAAAGGATTGGATGCGTTTGATGTTAGACAACTTTGCTGTCCCCCAAAGTTCAAGTCCGTAGGTCCAAATGGGTTTCAGGATTGTCTTGTAGATCAGTAATTTGTTGTCAATTGAAAGTTGAGATTTTCTGGTCAGTAGTCTGTATAATTGGCCGTATCGTCGGTTAAGTTCTTGTCTTTTAAGTCTAGTATGTGGGTTCCACGTTAGTCTTCGGTCTAAGATAAAGCCAAGATACCGGACTGTGTCTGAAAAAGGAAGCTGGATGGAATTGAAGTGGACTGATGGACAGGATCTGCGGCGGTTTATTAAATTTTACAAAAATATTACAATTTGCAATCAAAATAACAAGAAAACAAAAACCTTTTTATTTTTTTAAAATACCTTTTATAAAATTTCCACAAGATCAAATACAATCTTATTAGTATTGTTATTATTATATTATCTTTTTTTTTATCAAATTATTAACATCCGCCTGTAACTTCTTAAATAGTTCCATCTCATTGTGACCTAAAACTATTTTATTTACAAAAACTCTTGGAATTGGGGCTTTTCAATCTAGAGGGAGAGCAAAGTTTGTCTATTTAATTTGGTCCTAAAAACTTGTAAATACCCATTTGCTTTCTACTTTGATCGTAAGATAATTTGATCACTAAATCGAGAAAAAAAGTGCCCTAAAAGAAATTGGGCCGTTTATCCTAAACTTTGGGGTGTAGGCCACGCCAAACGGCTCAATATTTTTGGTGGCCACCATTTTTCTCGATTTTTCGATCAAATTATCTTACGATCAATAAAGAAAGCAAAGAACTATTAACGAGTTTTTTAGTAGCTAGTTAAATAGACAAAGTTTGCCCCCCTCCAGATTGAAAACGCCCCAATTCCAAGAGTTTCTGTAAATAAAATAGTTGTAGGTTACGAATAGATGAAACTATTTACGAAGTTTCAGACGGAAGTTAATAATTCGATAAAAAGGGGTCTATACCAAGGACTATATTAATTTTCAATATATTTGTATAATAAAAATTTTAGATTAAATAAATCATAGACAACAAAAAAAATCTCCTATTCATTTTTGAGCATTATTGAAAAAATACCATCTAGATATTAACACTCACAACCTACAATTAACAGTACATTAATTTCCGAGCAATTAAATGATTAAATTTTCGAAAAGGTTAAATAAAAGATTTTGCTCAATATCGAAAAATTCCACTCACGTTTTATTTTGAAGGAACAATTTTGATTCAATTTCAATGCTTGTCTGTTGTTAATAACTTGTGATGGATAAACCCGCCTTTTACCAATAAAATTTCAGTAATTTTGCGAATATCTTCATGGCCAAAAATCAATTTCATCAAATCCACAACAGTTCTATCCGATATTTTCAATCTCCACCCAATGGAGTCCTTTGTATCATTTGCCTTACCAATGATACTCACTTATTATACAATGTTCTCATGCTTATAGTCCACGGTGACAACCACTTTTAATCAAATTATTAACATCCGTCTGAAACTTCGTAAATAGCTTCTTTATTATTATTATACCAAGCGGTACAATATATTAGACCATCAAATTATCTTACGTTTCAAGTGGGAAAAAAAATGGATGTTCACGATTTTTAAGTACCCCATTATACAGAAAAAAAAATTACCGATCAAATTACAGGGTAAATGATTCGTTGTCAATTTTATATATAAAAAAAAAAAAAAAAAAATCCCAAAATTTCTCTTACGAATGCTCAAACATATTCATAAGTCTTTATTTCAAAAATAACACAAAAAGGGTATGATTAAAAAGAAAAAGTATGAATATAAATTTTATTTTGTTTTTACAAAATATTATCTGAACAGAATTGTCGAAAATTCTGTATTTTAAACAGAGTGGATACAAGAGTTCTTTGGAGATTCATTTCTCTGCCTATCGTTGATGATACCTCAAGTAAGCTGAAATAAACAAATATCAATTGTTATAAATATATATATAAATTTGTTTAAAAGTTTTACACTTGTTTGTTTAAATTATAATATCCTATTGTTAATTGTTTCTTAAGCTTTACATTTTAGTTAAAAATTAATTATATGTTTTTAAAAATAAGATTCTGTTCCATCCAATCGACAAGGAAAAAATTCTCCTATTTTCATGGGGTATAGGATATTCAAATATCCTATGTTTTTAATGTGTGACATAGTTAACTCATATATTACAACAGATTAGGCACGAATAAAAATACAGTTTTCCATGATTTTCAATAAAGTATATACTACAAGCCTTGTTATGTATCAATACATATATTTTTTAGTGTTTTTCTTAGGTTAAGAAAATAATTTTTTGTTGTGTAATTTTTAAAATAAATCTTTCCTTTAGGTTTTTAGAATGTAATTAAATTAAAATGATAAGTTAATTGAAGACAATAAGCCAAAAATTAAGAAAGGAGGCGATGTTTTTAAAAATTCGAACACTAATATGATTTAAGTTTCGTTGTCATTAAGAGGTACCGATGTATCGACAGATTTTAGGTCAATCTTATTCATACTTGGAATATAGTACTACATCCCGACTGTACAGTACAGTAGATCTCGACCTTCTAACCATTACATGTCTTCTCACAGATCTCCCTCATTCCGAAATTCCTTTATTCTTCGCTCTGTCAATTTCTGGAATTCCCTCCCTATCAAAATTCGACATTCCCCATCCATATCCACATTCAAAACTCTCCTATTCCAATTACTATCCCAAAAACAGTCAGATAGTTGCTAACCATTCGAGCTGATTTTAATAGAGAATTTAATAAATTTGTATTTTTTAATTCTTTATTATTTTCTTAAAAGTGTGTACTGGTCTATCAGTGCAAATAGCTTTAAGTGTCTTGTCATAGTATTAATTGTTTTGTATATAGTTTCGTTTGTTTTTATATAGAATGTTTACCTTATATCTTCTTTACATTATTTCTTTTTTTCGATTGATTTTATTTTGGTCCAGATGTAATCTTTTAATTTTGTTCTATTATGTTATTCTGAAGGGACTGTGTCCTAGAATAAAGTTATCTTTCTTTCTTTCTCTCTATAGTGTTTTTTTTTCTGTTGGCATTAAAGACCATGTAGATATTTTTTAACAAGCCTGCTTCATCTCTGCCTGTTTTGGACTATTTCTTTGCACGCAGGTATATTATATCTTTGTTGATTCTATCAATCCATCTGTTTTTTGGCCTTTCAAGTGGTCTTTTGCCTTTTATTGAGGCATTCATTGTTATGGAGAAGCAATCCATATTGGCGAGGCGCCCATCTTAATCTCAGTGATTTTATATCATAGGATATTGATTGACTAGTTTCTGTAAGCAGATTTTTATTAGTATTTCTTCCTCATGTGTTAGTATTCTGATCCTAAATCGCTCCGGTTATCCTAAAGAGGATTTTTCTCTCAAATCTTTGAATACTTCCTAGGGTACTGATTAGTGTGCAGATCTCATAGCCATATATTTGAACTGGCTTTATCATCGTACTGAACACCCTTAATTTAAAATTTATTAAGATTTTTCGGCGTTTCAATACCTTTGAAAAGCAGCATAAAGCTCTGTTGTCGCTGGTTATACGCTTGTCTATTTCTACTTGGTCATTCATTGAGGTTATTGTGGAGCAGAGGTATTTGAATTTGTCTACTCTTGTGAATGATTTCCTTCAACTCAGATATAGGGAATATAGTGAGCACTTTCCTCCATTAATAGCTGTTTTTCTTAAATAATATTATATTTTAATCACAGTCAACCGTTATAATGACAGAAGAGAACACATACAAGTAGCAGAGAGAAATAATACAAACATACATCATAAAAATTATGTGTATTGATATCTTCATATCCATATAAACTATAAGTAAAATAATAGATTATCTTAGCTATTGAACTTACCATATTAATAGAAACGGGGGGTTTCAACAGGAACGCATTGGTTGCTGACAACTTTAGGTGTGTCACTGACCCATGGCTGGCTGTGCAATTTGATCTGGCACTGAATTTGGATTCCGGAATCAATTCCTTCACTTACATATCTGATGGTATATATGTTCCCAGAGACAACCTGAAAAAAATAGAAAGCAATAGTAATTATCAATATTCTAATAAACGATTTAAGAAGATATGAATAGAATAGACTGGAAGAATTTCAAGTTAAAGGTTAACAGCACTCTCAATCAGAAAAATATAATATGGTTGCACACCAGTGGGAGATTTACATTATTTGTAATTTTGTCACATTGGTTCAGCTATTTCTAAATTGATTGCAGAAACATTCAATTCCTCGTGTACATACCAGATTACCCGAATATCCATAACTGCCCTTAAACAACTCCTAATATTCTGTGATTGTGATTCCTCTGAAAACCAGACAGCTCCTTGTAACCTCCCTTGTATTCTCCCACTTCGGCTACGGCTGTTTGTTGTATGGAGGGCTATCTGCCAGGCTGGAAATGAGACTAAAAAGACTCATGAATTGTTTCATAAGATACATCTTCAGGATCCCCAAGCGTTCACATGTTTCACTATGGTACACCGAGTTGAAGTGGCTTTATCTTACTTTCCGACGACGATTCCTCCTTGGTATTTTCCTTTTCCAAGTCCTCAGAACCAAAAACCCTCCCTACATCCTGGAACTCCTTACTCTACGCTCCTCTATCCACTCTCTCAATACTAGGTCTCAACCTGTAGACTTATATATTCCCTCCCATAAACCTTGATCCTTCAGCAAATCCTTCGTCATTCGTGCTGCTTCCTTATGGAACTAACTCCTACCTCCATGCGTCAATCCTCGTCCACAAATTCCTTCAAACAACTCCTGTTCCACCACCTACTCCACATTCAAACTTCCTCGAACGTGTAAAATTACTTGCATCTGTACAATGTTTAATCTCAATCTATCCCACAATTTAAATAACAATTAACAGTAAATTAGTTTGTATTTTTATTATGTCAGACTAAGATCCATAAATTTGTAACTCTGTTATTATTCTTAGGGGACAATAGTCCCAGAATAAAATTATTTTTTTCATTTCATTTCACAACGGACAATCAGAAACACTAATAAAATCATTTTATCCAAAAATGTCAGTTACAACTTTCTTAAACCAATATAATCATATGTATTTTCTTATATTATGTTTTATCGTATTATATCGTTTACATGCATTTCGGTTTATTATTTTCAATAATCAATCTTTGTAATAAACCAAGAAAACGAAAAGTTATCTTAGTAAAATTTTGAGGTTTTATGTTTTAAGAATCCGAAAATCGAATAAAAAAATCCGTCAGTCTGCCACCCGCAGCTTTTTTTCTGAGAACATAAGACCGATTGTTTTGAGATTAGTTATCAAATCAACTCAGCATTACCATCTGCCCTTTCCTTTCAATATGGCGGCCGAATGACCTGTGTCGCTGTAGAATTGTAGGACTTAATGTAACTAATGTACCGATTTTAATTAAACTTGGCCAAAGTTTTCTCCTCCGAGCCTTTTATATTAATGTATGCTTCACCGAAAAGAAGCTGGAAAAAAGTAACATGGGGTGGTAAAATTAGGTATTTTAATAACTCAAAAAGTTTACAGTATTTTGTAATTATTATATGATCATTTAAAAGTTTGCTAAACTACCGAAAAATAAAAGATAATCGTTGAAATTGGACGATTTAGTGCAAAGATTTTTCTAGATATTTTCCACACGTTCTGATGTGCAGCTAGTATTCTTTATATTTATTTTTGGAATGTCTTACATCAACTGACGCAATCAAGATTATTGTCTATATTTTTTAGAAAAATACTATTTAGACCACGTGAAAATATAGAAGTGAAAATATCAATATCGCTTACAGTATGTGGGTCCAATTTTTTAGTTTTGGAGATATTTTAATCCACATCTTGAATGTAACTCGTTATCATTTTTTATTCGACTCTATTTTTTCCTTTTCGCCTCTCTAACACGGAGAGGATGAAATGCTGAACAATTTTCTCGCTAACAATATGCAGATCCAATTTTTAGTTTTTATGGTATTTTAATCCATATGAAAAAACACTTCAATTAGTCAATTCGACCCGACTTTACCCGAGCGTTACACATCGAAATCTGACGGCTCAATTTAATTCACTCTCCACAAAGAAAGTGCAAAAATTCAATAATTATTTAGACTTATATTAGGAATCACCTTTCATTTATTTTCCTCTATGTGACAAGGAAAGTAGTGTTACGTAATCAAGTATTATCTAATAATTTGTAACGTTCTTTTATTTTTGCAAGCATATATAGATTAGTTTTCTCTCAACTACACTGAAAGTATAAGTTGCAACTAGAACTCTATTAAAACTCAACAAGATTATGTATCATAAAACACCGTCTCGTTCTGGATTACTATGAAATATAAATAATTTTTTTTTGTCAAAGTGTAATAATGAAAATAAATTTACCTGTCCCTCAGCACTTATAACCCTCACAATTCTCTGAGGTTCTGAGCTTGCATTAGAGTTTTTAGAAGAGAGTGCTTTCTGCAATAGGCTTCTTATTTCTTGGTCATTTGGGTCGACTTCGAACTTACCACCAGCCAACTTAAAAAAATAAAAAATAAAAGTTAGACAGTGAACTAATGGTGGTTGATAATTTATCACTTTTCATAGTGATTAGGGATAATAGATCAAATAAGGGCGAATAGAACGGTCATTTCATCGTATTTTTATTTGATACGATAAATAAAGAGAGAGAAGTGAGAGAAAGGGAAACTAAATGTTAAAAAAAAGAAAAAAAAAAGCATGAACAATGAAAAAAAAAATGTATATATATGTATAACTATTTTACTAATATGAACTAACACTTCTGTATATTTATATATAAGTTCATACATTGTCCTAAGGATAGAAGAGTATGCTGTGTATATAGCAACTCAATATAATTGGGCAGCAATCTTTTATATTTTTATGAAAATAAAGTGTTTCTCTCTCTAGGTTATATACTACATAACCTATTGTAATCTTACGTCAGGAGAGATTTTAAAAAGTAAGGTACAGAATAATAATAGTTTTCTTAGGTAGGTATTCCCTAGTAAGAATAACAGCGTACTATACAAAACATCCTTTTAAGAAATATTAATTTAATATAATAAATAATTAATTATTTATTGACATGGGCATGGGGATATGGGTACAGACCCATTTTTATCAAATTATTAACATCCGCCTATAACTTCGTGAAAAGTTTCATCTTATCGTAACCTACAAATTTTTTATCTGGTCGTTTTCTCATTATGTTAATTAATTTAATGAGATACCAAAAACTCATAAATACCCATTTGCCTTCCACTTGAATCGTAAAATAATAAAATCGATAAAAAAGATGGCCTCAAAAACCGTGGACCGTTTAGCCTATATAACCTCGTTATTTTGACATGTTGGGTTGGAGGTCGCTCCAAAAAGTCCAATATTTTGGTAGGCCATCTTTTTTTGTCTATTTGGTGATCAAATTATCTTACTTTCAAGTAGAAAGCAAATTGGTGTTTTTAGTACCTCATTTACTAGACAAAGTTTGCCGTTCTTCAAATTTAAAACGCTCCAATTCCCAGAATATTCATAAATAATAATCTTGTAGATTACGATTGGATGAAGATATACACGAATTTCCTGACGAATGTTAATACTTTGATAAAAAGAAGTCTGTACCATGGACTATTAACTATCAATTATGAAAATGAGTTACACCACTTTTGCATAAGATAATCAATAATTCATTAAAAAGTAGTCATTATACATTTGGATTTTTTAATATATAGTATAATGTAATAAGCATTAAAGGGGAGAACTAATACAATTATATGTAATTCAATATAATATAAGTATAATTTTTAAGAAAGAATTGCCCACCTGTCCATTGGCGAAGCACACGCCGACAAATAACAAAATGAATGCCTTGGTGAACATCTTGAAACCAAACTGTAACTGATGATAGTAGTGATCTTCGGAGACATTTTATAAGAAGAGGTGTGTGCACAGTTGGTTTCGATATTTGCCAAGTGATCAATGCTTACCTCTTGCCACGTTTTATAAATATTTGCTGTGACAAAATACGGCAAGATGCAATGTTTAACATTTTTAACTTGTAAATTGAAATTTATTTCTCTGTATTATATAAAAAAGTTTTTAATGACTGTCATACTTTATTTTGTTTTGGTATTAGGAGTGTAGGAAGATTACAGGACCTCAACTTTTCATCTTAGTCCTCCTAGATAGTGCTGCTCTCCTATGGCGACTATTACAAATTATACAACTGTTCATTTAATTACGTATATGTTGAGTTCATGTAACCTTCTATTCTCCTATTACAAAAATAGAGATTTACATTCTAGTGTCTTCGTTAGAATACAACATATGGGTTGAGCTCCTGCAACCTCTTATTCTCTTAATACAAAATAAAGATTTTAGACCAAAAGTTTTTACGCGAAATGGTATTCATCTGGAGGTGGTAGTTTGATTTTACCTAGATGACAGCAGTTATTTTTCGATCTAGAGATTTTTCCCTTGAATACAATTAATGATTATATTATTTATAAATTTTGTGAGATAATTATAACTATTATGAAATAGAAAAGGGACAATATAACGTAGAATGAAAATATTAGAAATGAAAGGCTTAAATTGATGCTGTGTTTATATGAAACTGGAAAAGTTGTATACATATTATTGTTACAAATTAGTAGAATAATATAAATTGGTAATAAAGCGCGATGTATAATATGGATTTTTAAAGGAAATTAAAAATTTGTCGGAGCTGTGGTTTCGTTCCATTTATTTTAAGTTGATAAAAAATAATACAACCTGAACTACAGAATACATATAAATTAAAGTTATACAATTTGAGCAAAGTGTAGTACAATTAAATGAACAGGCAGTTGTATAATTTGTAAAATGGGGGTTGGTCAGAGGTCGGATAGAGATTACAATCTAGTAGATAATAAATTATTAAGTACCTCGAGTTACCTCGTATCCCACTTTCAATATGATCTTAAAAAAGCGTTACATAGACGACACAAACACTTAACCCTTGTTTTGCTTCGTTTATGTTAGTCGGGAAAAAATTGGAAGCTTTTCTTTTTATTCATGAACTAATTACGTTAGGAAATTACATTGGTATATAATTTATACCTATTTTCCTACCGTTTTTTTAATTAAACCGTTTCCAGAGAAGAGGCTGAATATTTTATATTGGACGAGTAATCAAGTTGAAATATGTATCATTAGTATATCCCAGTGAATCCTCTCACATTAGATAAGTATAGCTCTCCAAGCAATTCATTCGACGTCCAAGTGACATTAAAGAAACATATTAATTTATCTTTGATCAGAACTTCTCTTGGAACAACCACATTTCCCACATTCCCCGTAAATCCATAACTATCCTTAAACAATTCCTTCGATTCCGTGATTCCATTACAACAGCTCCTTGTAACATCTAGTGTTGCCCAAAATCGGTCTTGGTTTTGCACTTGGCAAGACCAAGACCAAGAGCGCCTAACTGTTGCAAGACCAAGACCAAGACTAGTTAAAAAATCGATTTATTAAATATAAATTAAGGCAAAATAGTTAATAATATTTGACAATCTTAGTTATTATATGTATAGAATTGGTTAACCACTGTACATTTGTATTTAACTCTTCCAATTTATCATTTGGGCTTATTTAGGTTTCTCCTATCTAAAAAATTATAGCAATATCTCTATAGTAATAAGCTAATATGTAACTGCAAGTCTGTTGCGAGACTCTTACGCAAGACCAAGATTGAGTTTGCAAGACCAAGACTCATCTCGGTCTCGCGTTTGGGCAACACTAGTAACATCTCTTGTCTTCCTCCACTTCGACTTCGGTTGCCTGGTGTATGGAGGGTTGTCCACGTGACTGGGGGAGAGATTGAAGAAACTTATGAATTGCTTCATAAGATTCATCTTTCTCATATTTCTTGTTCGTACAACGAGTTGAGGTGGCTTTATCCTAGTTTGTGACGGCAATTCCTTCTTGGTGTTTTTCTTTTTCAAGTCCTCAGCACCAAAAACCCTCCCTACATCTTAGAACTCCTTACTTTACGTTCCTCTATCCACTCTTTCAACACCAGATCTCAACCTATAGATTTATATATCCTCTCTCATAAAACAACTTCCTTCAATAAATCATTCGTCATTCGTGGTAGCTCCTATGGAATTCTTTACCCATTTCCATACGTCAAACCACGTTCATAAACTCCTTCTAAGGACTCCTATTCCACCACCTACTAAAAATTCTAAATTCCGCAAGCTTGTAAAAATTTTTGGTCACCAGCAGTTAATGGATGGAAGTCATTTTATTTTTATTTATTCACTTTTTTTATATCTCAGTATTTATTGTATAAATTTGTATTTTGTATCTTAGTATATATATTTACAATTTTCTAAGTATTTTTTGTACATATTTGTATGATATCTACATGCCAGACTAATGTACATATTTTTTGAACTCTACAATTATTCTAAGGGGACTTCAGTCCCAGAATAAAATCATTTTTCATTTCATTTCATTTATTAAATATAATATTATCAAGCCTATTAAACATGAACAATGTCGGCTAATGTTAAAATAAATATTATTATTATTTTTTCTTGGCCTTTTTACTTTGACTGATCACCCCAACTATCTTTCTCTTCATTAATTTATTTAATTAGTGATAAACCTGTTCCGTTGTAAATATACTTCTAGGGAAAGATTTCTTCTTTGCTCTGCTTGCGCTTGTTTCTGATCATTCATTGAGTTTATTGTAGACCAAATTATCTTACGATTGAAGTGGAAAGCAAATGGGTATTTATGTGTATTTAGTACTTAATTAAATAGACAAAGTTGCCTATCTCTAGATTGAAAACGCCCCAATTCCGAGAATTTTCATAAATAAAATAATTTTAGGTTAGGATGAGACAAAGCTATTTTCAAAGTTTCTGGTGGATGTTAATAATTTGATAAAAAGGGTCGGTACCACGAACTATACTTTTATATTCTACCTCTTTTTTAACGATTCCATTATCTCGAAACTGTGAGTTATATATTTTTGTTTAAACTTACTTACTTACTTATTTCCGGTGTTCCAACGTGGGATACCTCTTCAGGTCAGAGCAGAGCTCCACACATCTCTATCCTCCCAGTCACCCTCCTGTAGACCTCGGCCGGCCATCTCTTCTCGGACTCCTTCCATCCACGTGGTTCTCGGTCGTCCTCGCCTACGCTTTCCGGGTGGCTGCCAGTCCAGGACTCTGTTCGGCCAATGCTCTTCCGACATTCTCCTGCAGTGTCCATACCACCTCAATCGCCGTTTCCCGATCCTCTCAGAAACGGTCTCCTCTACACCTATTCTCAGTCTCACCACTTCATTTCGGACTCTGTCCAGCCTCGTTAACTGTAGACACCTTCTCCAGAAATCCATTTCTACAGTCCGAATTTTGGCATACAAGCTAAGCATTCATCGACCATGCCTCACATCCGTAGGTTAATATGGACTCGACAATAGCCGTGAAGATACGCCGCTTGTTCGCGTTTGAAATAGTGTCGTTCCAGAGAACAGGATGCAGCATTCTAATAGTTTAAACTTTAATAATAATAATTGAAAAAAAAATAAGGTGTGCACTTTAGACCACACGATAAAAGTGAAAACATTAACAAGGCGATATTGATAATCTAAAATATAAATTATAAATAACAGCTCATTATAAATAGGATGAAATACTGAAAATGTTCGCTTACAGTATGCAGGTCCGATTTTTAGTTTCTGAGATATTTTAATCCATATCTTCCATAAAATTTGTTATCATTTGGTTTTGGACACTATCTTTTTCTCCTCCTACTCTCTAACACAGCGTCGCGTTAAGATACAATTTTTAATTATAGCTTATTACAGAGAGGATGAAATTCTGAACAATTTCCTTGCATACAGAATGCAGGCCAGATTTTTACTTTCTCAGATATTTTAATCAATATGTAAAAACATTATAATTAGTTGACTTTATAGGAATTTCCCCGGAGGTTAATGCCGAATGAAACTGACGGCTCAATCTAATACACTCTCAAAAAAAAAAAAAAATGCAAAACGCGCCTAAAGAAATTTTCACTAAACAAAAATGCATTTAGTTAGAGAATACCATTTAGTTTTCATGCAAACATTTAAATAATATTAATTTTCAGAAATTATTTTTAATATTTTCGTTACTCTATATTATCTTTGACGACTTTACATGTTAGATATTGTTTTTCCTTAGCTTTACAACAAATACATTCTGTATTATAGTATCATTCTCTAACTACAAAAAGAAATTGTCACTTCAAAATTTTGTTTATAGGTGACGCTGTTTATGTAATAATATTGTATTACCTTCATTTTCATTACATGATACTTTTTATTTTTATTTTTTTTAAATTAAACACGCCCCGCGAGCCAACAGATTGCACATATATTGATTAACTAACAATCAGGTTTGCCTTCATTCATTGGCCTTGACAATGGAATTCAATGTTCGAAGAATTCAAAAACATTATATTTAAAATTAATAATCAAGGTAACTCTTATATCAATGCATTGAAATACTCACCATACTATTATGTTTTTTAAAACTTTTCTTACTCTGTTATTGGGTCATTCTTATATTATTTGAGAATTTAGCCTTTAATCTAATAATTCAGGTTAAAAAAAATATCAACTTTTTGAAGAAACATCGATGTCAAATATTAGTATTGATGCCCTGGATAACAAACTTGAGCTTCGATAGTCAGTTTTCTTAAATTAATTTTCTGCTTTGTTTTTAAATTTTTAATTATTTTTTAAACAATAACAATTTTTTTTTCTCTACATCTCCATTTCTTCACCCACACCAGTCATAAGCAATGACAATTAGCGGGTCTGCTGTCGGTAAGTG